CTTATAATAGAGATATAGAGGCCAGAAAAGTTGCCTTGACAGGATATTTAAGATTATTGAAAATTTTTTCAAATGGCAATAATTATAATAATGATAATGATGACAACGTTTTGGCAATTTCACAATCCTCTTCAAACTCCTCTTCAAATTCAACTAACTCGCTGATTTTAGAAATAATGGGTAGGTTATTTTATCGTTTAAATAATTTGATTGATTGATTTCTTATACTTATTTTAAAATATCCATGTATTAGGTGTATTACGTAAATGCTACAGTCAACAGTCTCAAATTCGTCTTTCTTTATATGAAGGCTTGAGTAAATTGATGGATGATATTCAAGATCTTAATCCCGTTATATTTGATCTATTATATTTTCAAGTATATATTTTAACATGAACTTCCTATTTTCATACAATACTATACATAATGATTAATATTTATAATTTATTTTATATAGTTTCAACGATTTTTGGAAATGCAAACGGATGTTCATTTTACAGTTAATTTAGAAACTTGTATTGAAACCAATAATGGTACACCAAGCATTGTTGAGCCTTTACCACGTTTATTTTCTTGCTTAAGCAAATCAATAACTAGTTATAAAAAAAAACAAAATTCTGGACAAGATGGTTAGTGACTTTTGAAATATTTATTTTAATTTACTTTAATTTAATTAAATAATAATTACAATAAATTTAGAACTATCAGAATTTGATGAATCGCAACTTTCAGAATGTGTAAATAAGTTGGATTTATTGGCTGAATTTAGAATTAACGAGGATGCTGATTATAAAATGGTAACTAATGTGGGCATCCAAAATAACATGTGTGCTTCTTTATTACTTGGATGTTATGAGGTAATAATATAACAAAGAACTTAATAATTAGTATCTTTATGACCAAATAATATTACTATTGAATGCATTATCTTGTTTCAATAATTATATTAAGATTGATTTTATTTCTTATATATTTTCAGGCATCAATTGAATATATTTTTTTTTCACGTGAAAAAAATAATGATACTTCAAATTTGATATTAAAATTATTTAATAAATATTTGGAACTTTTTATGATCCTAAAAGAAAAATCTGTAAATGCTAGAGGTATATATATTTGAAATAAATTATTGTTGACCGGTCGATTGATGAATTAATAAGCTAATCAATTATTAGGTCGAAAAACTGTAGCCTCAGTCACGGAATATTCTATTCTAAGTTTCAAATGTATTGTCGAACTCTTTCAACTCACATTTAATACTTTCGATTGCCAAATCTCTAATAATGCTGGAACAATTTTAAGATTTTGTAAACTATATAACTGCTTTAGCACATAATAAAATATCTCAGGTAATTACAACAATAATTATTATCATCATTATTGAAAAATTCTTGAATTTAATAATAACAAGTTTTTTTTTTAAATAAAAGATTACAACAAATTTTGATCCAGGAGATCAATCAACATTAAAATATTGCATATCATTGGCTCAAGTGTTCATGAATGAATTTATTAAAAAAAACAAAGCAAACATCAATTGTTTACAAATTGATAATAAAGTAAAAAAATTTTTAATGATTTTTAATTCATTATTTATAAGAATTAACAAAACTTATGTATATGCATATAATAAATCCATATTTAGAATCAATCTATACTTGCAACAGCAATTGAAAGTTTTATGTTATTATGTAAAGTAATATTGAAGTGTTGGCCGGATAAACTGATGGATTTCTTGGAAATGTCTTACCCATCAGATGAAAAAAAACTTAGTAATCTGGATGATTGGTTGGATTTATATATTAAAGAGTTTGAAGTAAAAATAAATATATAACTTCAAATATTTTTAAATAATTAATAATAATAACATAAAATTAATTAATTTTTAAAAAATTAAATAAATAGTTTTTAGTAATCACATCATTAAGTGAACAAATACCACGAATTAAAGAAGCATCAGAATTATGCCAAATAATAACATTATTATCATCATATTTCACGTTTAACTCCAATGATAACCAATCTAAAGGACACCAAGAATTGATCATATGGCTTAGAATGTTATGTAAAGAGCATGCAATTGATAATGTTGCTCTGACAAAAATAATTGTTAGTATGTTGATGAAACT